ATTAATTTAAAAAATGAATCCAATATCAAATTATTTTAAAATAAATTGCAAATATTAAGTTTAAAATATTTTTTATCAACAATCATGTATGTATATACAACAGAAATAAATAAATAGGATATATGATTTGATCTAAGCCATGGTGGAAGGGATTAACATGATATACTTTGTGGTGTAAGGAATTGACATGATGTGCTCAGTTTGGGCAAACCACGCCCTTTTTATAAACCAACTATAATAAAAATTTTTTTTCTTTATAAATAAATAATTTTTATTATAAATAAATTTAAAAAATTTTTTTATTATAGTCCTAAAGTACTTTTGAAGCCATTCAATTTTCATTCTGAAAATTTTTTCTATATCTACAGTTCCGGTGATATTCGCTTCGAAAAAGAAAAACCGATTTTTTTCTAAAGAGTGTTTCACTGTCTAAAAGTGCTTATAAAAAAATACGCTTATTTTTATTTGGAAAATAACAGAAATAAATAAATAGGATATATGATTTGATGTAAGCTTAACATACTAAAAGTTTATTAAAATCGGAGGAGGACAGTCCCAGTCAGAAATGATAATGGAATCGATGTCGATTCAATGTCGATTTCATTATCATTTTTGACTGAGATTAGATCCTTTTCTTTGTCAATTTAGTCCGTTCTGTCCCTATGCGAAAGATTTATCGTTATTTTTCAATACACCCTATATAAAGAACGAAAAGGCATATTAAATATAAAAAGACATGTTCATTTTTGTTCAAATATATTTTAATAATAAAAATGAATATTCATTTGCATTTTGTAATTATTATTAAAAGTTTTTTATTCATTCCTTACAAATAGATTTGATTTATATCTCAATAATCATCATTGTCACTATCAATCCTTAAACCGTCACTTAAATTATATTACCCGTGATGTGGGATAATATATGACTTTTAAAGGAAGTTAGAAAATTTATTTTTATACGTAAACAAAAAATTTCGATTACAAATATTTTCCTATTAATAATAGAAGCTTTAAAATAATTATTCGTGCAAGAATTAAATAGAAATAATAAAAATTAAGAAAATGGCACGTTGTTGTATTATAATTTTGCATTTGTTCGTCACAATTACCCCGATTGACCCTAATCTAAACACTGATTGGTGATTATAGACATACTAAATGTTTATTGGACTAGATCACAAATAGTGATCGAAATAGCTAATAGCCGAGAGAAGCCTGGCCATGACTGGGATTTAGCTGTTACTTTATTTTGAAGCGCCCCTATGTCCATAAAATGTAGACGTTGAATTATGTAGCTAATGTCTATGATCAGGTCGGTAATGTCTACGATTTTTTGGTTCTATTCTTCGCTATGTCTACAAATGTCAGTCCGTTAGGTAGACAAAATTATGAGGGACTCCGCACAATAAAAGGAATAAGGAACAAAGAACAGAGAATAAGAATTTCAATCTATCAAAAATCATGTATTGTGAAATACATACATTTCAGATAGGTTAAAATTCTTAGAGGTTCCGCACAATAAAAGAAATAGGGAACAGAAAACAAGAATTTCAATCTAAAGAAACTGAATATTCTACAATGCATGATTTCTGATAGGTTGAAATTCTTATTCTCTGTTCTCTGTTCCCTGTTTTTTTTATTATGCAGATCCCCTAAGTTATCTTGTAACAAGACTTATTACAAACGTCGATTGATTGTTCGTCTTTGTCTATTTAACGGACCGAAATTTGTGGATATAACGAAGAACACAACCAAAAAATCGTGGACATTACCGATCGGACATTCATTGACACTGGCTACTTAGTTCAATGTCCACATGTTGTAGACATAGAGCGTTTCAAAATAAAGTAATAGCTAAATCCCGGGCATGGCCGCTCAGATTTCTGTCTGCTAATAGGAAAGCTGCCGGCATTTCCATTTCGGCTTAGATCAAAGGAAAAATGCACTTTGATATATAGAGCTTTATATCCAACTGGACACACTATAGATCTGTTCACGTCGCTTGAAATCTCCAAAAATTTTTGCACTTAAAATGAGATAAATATATTCATGTCAAAGAGAAGAAGGTGAAGATGCTTGGTGTAAAAAGTGCAAGCAACGCGAACAGACCTTATCCCTTCCATCATGGATAGGATGCGAACATGGCGAAACACAGCTGAACTCGACAGAATATGGCGATATATAGCACAAGTTGTTTTTGATTTGATTATTTACAAGTAATTCAAGTTCAAAGCAAAGTTTTAGCTTATCGTGCTAAATAACTGAAGAACGTGACATCGTAGAAACATGAATTACAATCACTCGAATGCACGTCGAGGTAAGCATAACCTACGAATGACAGATGTAAATTTATTCTATTTATCTTCTGCATATTTACATTTGTCGATATTTATAATATCGACAAATCCATGATAGTCATAATATTTATTCCTATGTTGCTTATAAAAATAATGTGTAGAATAGATTGATTGCATGAATCATTCTTAGGAGTAATATTAGTCATGATAGCTATTTCTAGATATTGCACGATATGTTACAGTAGCAGAAGTGTGCTGTTTTTTACGTTTGAAAAGAAATAAGCATATCTATAATTAAAAATTAGAGAGAGAGAGAGAGAGAGAGAGAGAGAGAGAGAGAGAAAAAGAGAAAAATATTAAAAATTTAGCTACAAAGAACAAAAGAATATTTATTACAGTACATGTTTTAGAGAGAGAGAGAGAGAGAGAGAGAGAGAGAGAGAGAGAGAGAGTGCGCAAGAGCGAGTATATGAATAAGATTATTAATTTTAATAATATTGTTCAGTCTAATATAATAATAAGAACATCAATTTTATTATATCACATAGTATACAATTAAGCAAATTTTATTATTTTTATTTTATATAAAGATAAGTTGTTTATTGGCAGGAAAACCGAAGAGATTGTTGGATCCATCAGCTGGTCTATCTGCACCAGCTCCTTCAATGGCACAGAATCCATATATATATAATGAACAGGTAAATTTTATAAAAATATTAATAAATTTTATAAAATTAATTATTTTTTATTATAAATTAGATTATGATTGTTATTTATAGCATTTATAAAATAGACTAACTTTGAACAGAATTGCTTCTCTGCTAGTCCAAGTTTACACATAGTAATAAAATTTGTTGCTTATATTTTTATATCTTATAGATTGATATTATATCATATTTTTGAGTAATCTATTGTTTTTAGGTATCCATGAATAATGGTACGATGCCAGAATATAGCTTTGGTGTTCCTGGACAAGGACCACCTCCATATGGATTCAATCCACAAATGTCAAATTATCCATCTAGCGATAATCAAGGAGGAGAGTTTGCAACCCCGCAATTTGCAACACAATTTTTAGCACAACCAGTTGTTGCAGACATGGCAGTACAATATGGAAATGCATTAGTTGGTACTGGAAAACAGCATCTTGAAAAGTATGTGCCAGTTTCAGCAATGAAATATTACTTTGCTGTAAACACCGATTATGTTTTTGCAAAATTAATGCTGCTGTTCTTCCCATTTACTCACAAGGTAAGTTTCACAGAGGACATTAAATGAAGAGAGACAGATTGATGAATATATATTGTACTAGATTAAATAACTTCATTACAGATATTTTTGTTGTATGTAGAAATAAATGTTTATAAAAATCAAAAAGTATTTCTCGATCACTGATCTATTGTAACTAATGAGAATTCAATAATTCCTTTTTATAGGACTGGTCTGTAAAATACGAACAAGATGTACCATTGCAACCACGATATGAAACTAACGCGCCAGATATGTACATTCCTACAATGGCGTTTTTCACATATGTTGCTATGGCGGGATTAGTTTTAGGCATGCAGGAACGTTTTACTCACGAACAATTAGGTATTCTAGCTAGCTCCGCTCTTGCTTGGGGTTTAATCGAATTACTTGTTCATACTGTGAGTTTGTATGTGATGAATCTCCAAACGAGTCTAGCAACGCTAGATCTATTGGCATATTGCGGTTATAAATATGTCGGTATTAATGCGGCACTAGTGATATCGTTGCTATTTCGGAAATTTGGTTATTATATAATGCTATTGTACTTCAGTGCTTCTCTAGCTGTCTTTCTGATGCGATCCTTAAAATTACGAGTCATTCCACAAGGTCATAGTTCATACACAGCTTCCGGTAATAAAAGGCGGCTTTACTTCATATTGTCTTTGGCTGGTATACAACCTGTTTTAATGTGGTGGTTGTCATATCATCTAATTTAAATAAATATGTTATTTAAGTAAATGTAAAACGTTTATAAAAACAAGGAGAAGGAAATGTGAATATTTATTATTTGGCTACTAATATCTGTACATTTTTTTGTAATAAAATCCAATCACAATTCGTCTATTATATTTGATGGATCTTTACTACCCGACTTTTTTTTCTTCTGTGATAGATAAGATGTTATCAGATTTTGGTTCCTTCCAAATAAATTTTTCCAACAGATATCGAGTGACTTCGAAAATTAGTAAAACGTATTTTGTTATAATTCCGGTCATTTTGTGTGTTTTGACTATGAGTGCATTGTGCATTCGAGGAGACACTGGCTGTTTCCAAAATTCATTGTCAGTTTGGAAAATGTAATATACGTAACGTAAACTGTAGATTTATAGCGCTGGCAATAAATTTTGGTACACAGCCACTATAATTTATGTCATTCTTCATTAGATGCTTTCCATTTGATGACACAAGTATCGTTTTATCTTTGTCACTCTCTGAATGTCAAGAAGGATAGAATAACACTTGTGTCGTCAAATGGAAAGCACCTATTTGTTTATTAAATGTAAAACAAAGATAGATGATAGCATTGACGAGATACTATTAAACCAATATCCTTACAGTTCGCGTCCTTGAAGTAATTAAGAGTTAAAAATTGATAATATTGTATTAATTTTATAATTTATTAGTTTAATAAATATTTATCCATTTAGAACTCAATAATACTCGATTTTTCTTTAAAATTGTGATTTCAGTGTTATCGTCAAAGTTTGATTATCAACAAAGATGATAACTGCAGAGAAAAAATTATAATTTTTCTGGAATATATAGGATATTATAGCTTTACAAGTATGCACATTTATTTATTTATGGAACATTTATATAATAAAAAAATCATGAATTTAATAATGCATAAATCATAAATATTTATATATATAATTATAACAAACATGATTTTTTAAAAATAAAAATTCATAAAATTAACAAAAAGAAAAGTATGCAACCACAAGTTTTTGTGATATTTAATATGTAATCAAATGATTTAAACGTTTCGGCCACAATCTGGCCATCTTCAGTAAATTTATAAATATCAATAAAAACGCAGAAAAATTTACATAAATTTAACATTAAAATTTAACGATCATAAATATAATTATCAATTAACGCTTTCTTTCCTCTTGTACAAGTACATAATTTGCAAAATGCAAATTATGTAGAACGAGAATTGCCAGATTCTGTTTTACAGACAAAATGATGAGTCTTAAGCAATTTCTTCACGCAAAACTCGTCGTGACATTGTATTATTATTTTCCCAGGGTTGGGAAGTAACGCGTTACTTGTAACGCCGTTACTATTTTCATTATTTTTTTCTATCTGTAATGATAACGGTAATGTTATTACATTTATAGTAACGGTAACGAATTTAGCCATTACTTTTATCGTTACTTCAGTTCCTTATTATTTTGTTATTTTATAATTTATTCTTAATTTCTTAAAAAGTATTTTATACTTAATATCTTATACTATGTTCTAACAGCACTGCCAATATTGAAAATATATAATTCATATTACATATATATATATTGTAAATTTTTGGTACGGACAATAAATATTGAAGTACACATAATAATAATTCTAGTGGAAATAAATTGTTGAAATTCGCTGAAAATCGCTGAAATCTCTATCAATTGACTCATTTCATTATGAATTATACTGGAAATGAGTTTATTGATAAAGATTTCATCGATTTATATTCACCAGGGAACATTAACGTTTAAAAACAATATATACTCTATTATCTGCTTAATCTAAATTCTTATAAAAATGAGTACATTAAAATAATAATATTATTTAAATAAAATAAAGAATTAGTAAAACTATAGGTAAGTTTAATATAGAGAAAAGCTTGCTTTATATACAAACTAGTTAAGAGAGTTTCAAATTTGAATATTTATTTCACATTTAGTATTAACTTAATTATCAGCTAACGTAATTTTAAAATTTAATAACTTATTTTAGCATTATAACAAGAAGTAACGAAAAAATAACGAATCGTTATTTTTCAAGTTACGGTAACGGTAATGCGTTACTTTTTAAAATTAGTAATGAGTTACTCTTTTCAAAAAAGTAACGATAAAGTAATGCGCATAATCCTGATTATTTTTAAAATATTTATGTTAATAATAATAAATTTATATCAATTATCGATAATGTCAGAGTTCTTCAATTACCTCCGAATCCTCTAGACTCTTTTTATACCGCCGAAAATTTACCAAGGTTGATCTTTAATAGTATCTCTTTAATAGTATCGGTGATGATAGACAGCGCTGATAGCACTTCCCGTACGCAGCATTAGTCAAAAATCATTATTTCATATCGAATTTACGAGATATCGCAGTACGTTTCTTAATGATTAGTCATTCTGGCAATTGTCATTCCGGTTATCGCACATGGGCAAGGTGTGGCGCTACGATCGAGGTTTCTGTCAACTCTTATCTCGCGTCTCGTCAAGTTGTCACTCATGTCAAGTGGTGTGGTGTCGAGCCGCACCGCGCCGCGCGCTCTTCACGGTCATTGATAGTCGTCCGCGAGCCGCGAGACTGCGCGAGACTTGGGCGGTGAAACGTAGACGTTGTGTGGTGTGTGTCTTGTGGGCCGCCACCGCCAGCAGCCGTCAGGGCCAAAAATGGCGGAGCGGACGAAGGTGACAGCCCCGGCTACCCGGCCTGTTCCTATGAAGTTGTTTGCCACCTGGGAAGTAGATCGTACTCCTCCGAATTGCATACCCAGGTAACAACACAACATATTTTCTTATGATTACTCCGACATTGTTTGACTCGCAGTGTGATTCATTCAGCGTTCTTCGACGTGATGGTGGACGCCAAGTAACGTTTCTCCGATGAGAAACGTTTGCACGCCCTTTTTGTGACCCACCCCCTACTTTGATCAATTGGGATGCCCGTATTTACAAGTTGATGACCTATGAGTGAATGGACAGGTTGCGTTATTCTTCGTAGTTGAGTCACAGTCGTATGGCATGCGTCGCATTCATTATTATGACTCCGAAATTACTGCTACTGTCAACAGAAATCTGACAGATGTTCGTGCTCATCACGTTCACGATGAATGACAAAACTCTCACTTTTTGCATTCGTCGATGTTTTCAGTTTTAAATATTTTTCATATTTTTCACCATTTTACTTTTAACAGGAATGACAGTAGATCAATATTTATTGTTAATTTTTCTATGTCGATACGAAAATTGTCAATACGAAAAGTTAATATGAGGCAAATTATTTCCTGTTTTTATGAATATTGTTAATATTAAGAAGTACTAACAAGTTAACAATATATTAATCGAGAAATAATTTATATAATATATGAAATGTACATATATATGTATATTGCATACATAAAATATAAAATTTTAATTATGATCAAATATTTTATAATCAAATTTCTTTACAAGATTTGTCGAATTAAACTAGAGAGAGTAAAAGTTAGTTTAAACTTTGTTAATATTTTTTTAAATATATATTAGGTAAGTCAATTTTTTATCAGCTGATACAAGTTTATAAAACCAGAAAAAATTTTTTTAAATCAATATAAATAAGAACGAATTATATTAAAACAAATAAAACTTTCAAATTAAATTTAAATTTTTAAAAAGATATATATAATCATATATCTCAAAAATCAGAAAATAAATAAAAACAATCATGATTATGAGATAAAATTCTCTAATTGCATTAAATAAATACATTTTAATAGATTAATAAGAAATAATTAATCAAAATATATTGTAGAAATTTTTTGTTTTAAATTTATTGTTATTATCTCGATTCGTGATTTTGTCGATCTACTTCAATAAGATAATTATAATGTTTCAGTTAAATAAATATTCAAAAAAGAAATCGTGTACTTTATATAAGTCATACTAAGAAATGAATAAATTATTTTGTAATGTTCAAAAAATACTTATATAACAAACATAATTTTTCTATTGTGCAGTATATAATTTATAGTTATATAATTTAATTACTATACCACTATTTAAAATATATATAGCCTATATCGTCGACGATAAGATCGTCGAGTTGAATGTCGAGTTTGAATGAAAACGCCTATAGGGGCGTTTTTAAGCCAGAGAGACATATTATAAATTCTTATCTACTTTTCAATATCCATAACTTAAATTTTAAATGTAAATTTTGAAACCGCACACGGTGCCTCACGAAATCGTAGATGTTCTTTTTACTATAAATATCTTAATCGATTTGGGAAATCGACTATAAAGTTGATTAGATATATCGTGCTGCGCATATATCTTTACATATGCAACTAGCGAACCACATTCGTATACTATGATGATATAATTATTGTATTTTTGACTCTCAGTTATTGCCAAATCATGATGGCAGGCACGTGTTTGGCAAAAGTCAGCGGTTAATTCGAATGCACAACAGTCACATGAAATGACTGAAATTAACGAATTGCCATCGCTTCAAGTTAAAATGTTTTCCAATAAGAGACACACATAACATGGTATGACACATCATCATCATTATCCTTGTTCGCCAATATTATACAAGGATGAGATGATCACTGTGTTGTACTGAGTCGCTTATTGGAAGGCACTCAATGCTATCGATTTCCAACAAATTCTTTAAAAAGATTTTTCGCTTTGGAAATATGCGAAAACAAAATTCCGCAAATCTAATCGGCGCAGCAGTAAGATATTTAAGATCATATATAATAATATTCATATATAATAACATATATTCGATATAATATTTATGCAAGTTTCTAACGCTTGATCTACATTTAATGTTAAATTTAATGATTGTCGATTATATTTTCAATTGCAGGTATCGATAGAGATATCTCATACTTATCGTTACAATTTCATTATTTTTGATCGATTATCCGCAAGTATTTTTGTCGAGAATATTTTTTGAATTATTATTTAGAATAATCGACACTACCACTATTATTATTTACATATTATATGATGACAATATCATAATGATATTGGCGTATATGTATATATTTTCTGCTGTATTTTAATACACAAATATTAGTTGATTTAGAAATAGTATTCGTATGATTTGAATAATTAGAAATAATTTCCAATAGAACGTATACTATGTAAATGATTTAAGTTCTTTAAATATTGCTGACACAAGAGATTAAATTTACGTATTTTCCACGAATCGTTCACGTAATCGTATTATCGCAAATGGAATGGTTGTGTCGTGCACAGTAAAATAAATGCGCGCTCGAATGATAACATGCCACCTGTAGTTTCTGTTCTCTATGGCTATATTTAGTATTCGCGCCCCTCAACGCCCCCAGAAACCCTCTTCATAAATAACGATAATCATCCTTCTGCCCACCATCACTGTGTAATAAGGGTTTCGTCGACGATGTTTCCACTTGGTATAGGCTCTATCACGCGTATCGAGATGTAAATTATGTACGAAGGGGGCTCGAACGGAGTAAGGACCTATACCTTATATTGCAGGTTCTAAAAGAAAATTTATTCCATAAAAAGGATTATATTTTGTCTGATTCCAGCAGTTATATCTATATTTTATTTTTCATTGTACATATCTACGTCGGAATTCAAATATTTGTCCCACGTACTTGTCAAATAATTTTTCTATTTTGCTGAAGAATATTGTTATTAGTATATATATATTTATTTTCTGCCAAAATTCTCCACAAATTCTCTTCGAAATTAGCTCGGGAGATATTTCTTCTAGCAAAATCTTCTAAGCTAAAAAATCCTTTTAATTGATTTTATAGATTTTTTTTAGTTTATAGTGATAAACGTGCTCGAAAATAAGCATGCTCGTTAGAATTTTTTGAAATAATTCCATTTTTATAACTTATTTTATTTTATCTATAAAAGCCATAAAATTGACAATGTTGTATGTTTTTCATATGTAGAAATCTTTTTAATCCGAATGTTACGTACTTGATAGTATTAATTCGCCTACTTTAAACCGACATAGTGCAACGATAAACAGGGTAGATGATAACTCGTGATAAAATTAATCTTTTTGGTTATTCACGAATAGAATATTGTATACACATTTTGCACAATATATGATAAATATATACGATCCCTCAATCGATTCTTATCTTTCGAAATCCTTATACCTTATAGATATCTCGATTATCATGCCAATCGTTTCCTCCAAAAGAAATTATATTGATGCACATTATCCATTTAAATCTCCATAGTTTTTCAAAATGTGTATCCTCGATCAATAGTCGAGATATTGATCATTACATTGTCTTTGTGAACTCTAATTATTATATTCATATTATTGAATATATTTTCAATGAGATTTCTTCTAGGCAATCTTTCGATCAAACCTTAAAATATCCTTACGTCTTAAATCTTTAAATATCTCACTTTAATTTCGCTTTATTTTTAGGTTGTGTTCCTTGACTTTAACTCGATTAATAATACTCCGACCGCTCGGCTCAGACTTAGCGTCCATCAGCATCGCGGTCAAGATGCAGAGCTCCAAGAGAACCTTGCGTTCCAATGAGATGGCTATACCGACTGGCGGCATACTCGATACGGAACTGGAATTGCAATTTGCACTTCAGTATCCACATTTTCTCAAAAGAGACGGCAACAAACTTCTGATATTATTGCAGAGGCGAAAACGATACAAAAATCGTACGATGCTTGGATACAAGACTCTCGCAGAGGGAATTGTTAACATGGCGCAAGTAAGCCTGGAATTTTACTTTGTTGTTTGTATTAAAAATAAAATTATTTATTTTTCGCTCAAAGCTGTAGTATAATTACAATAATAATAGATATTGTTATATCATAATAATGAAATAACTCTAGCAAGATTATAATATTACAAAATATTTTTTTTCCGAAAAAGATGGAGATGCATTGTCTCTCATGTTGCCTCATACATTAAATTTCTTCGCAATGATAATCACTTTTTACAGGTGCTACAGAAACAAATGGACGTCGAGTTAGAACTCATATCAGATAAAGCGGAAAAATACGGTGGTCACTCAGTCCCATTAGCACGTGTGAACGTTGTCGCTCTGAGTTCTCAGCCAGTTGATCATGATAAAAGACTGACAAATGATCCCAACGAGAGACTCTGTCCGGAATTTAGTGACGAGGAGGAGGAGTTTAGCTCGGAGGGTGAGGCAGAGGGTAGCGATAGCGAGCCTACATTGGAGGTACACAGGCGAAAGAGTCGCGGGAAGATTCCAGCGAATGCCAGGGTGTGCGCAATATTTTCATGCAGCTTAAGATTTTCCTATTCTCATTGTTTTCTATTGAATTCTAATCTTTATTGTGTTTTACAGCAAAGAAATTTAAAGCAAAAGTTTATAGCTCTTCTAAAGCGATTTAGAGTATCTGAGGAGTTGGAGCACGATCAAGAGGAGATTGGACAAAAACTTTCAGGTATATATAAAAAATACTGTATATATAATATAAAATATATAAAATAAAATATATATATAAAATATATATATAAAATATAAAAAATGAACGAAAAAGAAAAAATAAAATAAAGATCTAAAACTAATGGATTAATATTAATAACAGTTAATATTAATAACAATTTTTCTTAAAATTCTTTACATGTTAAATGCAATTTGGAAAATTAAATAAATGTTAATTGTAATAAAATAATTTCTAAAGCAAAAAAACGGGTAAAATAATTCCGAATGATAAATTCTACTCATGTGAGAAATAAAAAACATATAGTCTCAACTTCTAAGACTTAAGAAAATATGACTTTTCAAGCCGAAGCAACTCCTATCCGATTTTCCCCCCTCGCTCCTCTGTTTAGAAGTGCATGACTTCCATGCGAAGCAACTCTTATTTCACTTCTCTCCCTGTTTAAGAATGCACGACTTCCACACTCCCATCTCCCCCCTGCAAGGAATGCATAACTTTCATACGAAGCGACTCCCATCTCACCTCCCCCTGCCAGACGCATGATGCACTTTCCATGCAAAGCAAGATTTAGCTGAACAAAAAGTAAAATAAAATTTTTTTTTTTCATTTCTCGAAATTGAAACTATAGATTTTTTATTTCTTACACAAAAAACAACTTATATGTAAAATTTCAAGTTAATCGGGAGCGGAGATTCGAAACTATATCTCAAAAAACTTATTTAAATGTTTCCACAATTTTTTGTTAAAGGCGGTGATATGGAGATAGAAGAATTGTTCAACGAATTAGAAGATTTATCAGACAGTGGGCCAGAATTGGATACCATGTCTGTTAGTAGTACACCGAAGCCCTCGCTAAGACCTTTTTTCAGCTCTAGTCGATCTCTTCTCGCGCCACCTCATTCCGGTAAGTTATTGTATAATCTAATTCGCGTATTCTGATAAAATGTGTGACATATGTGTAATACGCAAGATATTTTATCGATATTTGAAACTAGCTCATTGTACTGATGTTGCGATGTAATATTTAAGTAATAGACATATTACTTAAGGCTGGCATTTAAACAAATGTTGATACCATTATCATATCATATATAACGCTTTACGGTAAGGAAGATACATTACATATCAAACTCATCGTATTCTGGCTTTCGCTCCAGGCTATTATTACACTCGTTAAGTAGTCACTTTTCGCAGTTAAACGTATGAGAATTTCCACACATATGTTTTTTATTTAAATTTATGCCTTCGATCATCCTCTCTCTCATGCATATTTTTGAACAATAAACATTACCAACTTGCGCATTTGCGTATCAAATAGAATGAAAAAAAAAGAAAAGAAATAAATTTCTTATCGCACAGTGTCATTTGATAAAATAATAAAAAATTTTTTTTGTATAAATAGATTTTTAAAGAATTATAGTTTTTTTTTTATAATATATCTTATAATTAGATAAGAGCTATAACAATTATGTTTGTTTTTGATGTTAAAAAGGAAAATATAATAACATAAGAAACTTGTTTTTTATATTGCGTACTTGTAATGACGAATAATGAATGAGACTGAATTTTTTAAAAAGTTCATTAATACTTTCGTATTAATCTTCGCACGTAAAACATTCTAAAGATAATGATAATCTCTCTCTATAGAAATTATAATCACTATATAAAAATTATTCTGTTTTATATTATACATTATATTAATATATTATGCTTGAAAAGAGAGATTTTAATAATTCCATAAAAATGAATAATTTGTAACTGCCAAAGGTGTATTTATTATTCACGATTTGATTATGCTGTTGATGTTTTGGTGAAGTAGCATGACTGTTGCAATTCGAATACCTTTTACAGGTTCGTCCAAAGTTTTCAACGTTTTAAAACAGATTATCCAATATAAAACTTTTGAATTAAAAACATGTAATAATGTGTTGACATTTGACATATACATACGTTATATTTTCTCTCTCTCTCTCTCTCTCTCTCTCTCTCTCTCTCTCTCAAAATATATATATATATATATATATACATATATATTCTGTAAATTATTGCAAAATATAATTTACAGAATAATACATATATAATTTACTACATGATACATTAGACTTGTTGCTAAATGTCAACTTTTTGAAAATTTTGGTTGAACACTCGTTAAAAAATACTAATACTTATTGTATTGTGTTTTATCAAATATGACAAGTCATCTATTTATAATTATTGAAAAGAATTTTATCCGTATTTTATCATTCATTAGAATTCATTTTACGATATTTTAGGCTGATATTTAAATCCTATAGAAAGAGAACTTTGGATTCTTTTTTTTTTTTTTTATTAATAATAGTAGTAACAGGAGAATAATATTTTTTTTAACTAAACGCGAGGAATTGCAAAATCTTTGATTTTTGAAAGTGTATAAACATAATTATATAGAATTTTTTAATTAAATTTGTTAAGGAAGAAATGAGGAAACTGAATGGAAAACTATATTATGTTGAGCAAAGATTCCTAGCCTCTCATTACTGCCATTGGATTTGGATTATGATGTTAGAAATGAAAAATCTTATAAATATTTTTTTATTATAACATATTGAAATTAATTAATTTTTTGCATATTTTATGTTATGTTAAATGAAAATAGATTTATGAAAGTAGATTTATAAAATATGACGTAGAATTTTTTTATTTGTAGATTAATAGATAGTTGTACATTATAACTGTTACATCTTGATTAATTTAAACTCATAAGTTTTTGCTTTCAATCATAATTCGATATGTCTTAGAAGCGCTAATATCATCATTGTCTAAGGATAAGGGCCTTAAAAATTCCATAGCTTACTCAAATTCAGATCTTCTAAGTGAAAGTCTGGTGGGTGGGTTGGCTTTGCACTGTTGCATGTTACGATTCGATAGTAGTAACCAACGAGACTGCTGGAACTATTTCAACGACTACTACGTGTCAACAGCTCGCGGGTCAGCCAACTAAAGAGAAACATCGTATTGGACATACAATTCCGGGTATGTAAATATCAATCAATCCTGAAGTCCCATATGAAGATCGAATAGTTGAAACGTTTTAAGGATTCCGCTTCTTATTAAACAGCACGTATTTTGTAACATTTAAATATAGCATGCAATGTAAAAGAGACATGTGCGTGCGTGCGTGCGTGCGTGCGTGCGTGCGTGTGTGTGTGTGTGTGTGTGTGGTGTGTGTGTGTGTGTGTGTGTGTGTGTGTGTGTGTGGGGTGCGTGCGTGCGTGTGTTGTGTGTTATATATATATATATATATATATATCGTTGAAGATGATGTAATAGAATTCACTAATGTTTTTTGAAATAATATCTAATTTCATTCTTTTGTCCTTCATGATACAGTCAATATGAATTAATACAAAGATTCCAGATTAAAAAAAATTTGTTAAAAACATTATATTTATAATATTATATTTGTTATGATGGATTTCAAGGAAATATTGAAAACAATCTAGTGACAATAATTTTATAGATTGGAGAGGAAACTCTAGCGCATGAATGACCTTGTTAATCAACAGAAGTTTGATGTTTCAATCCCATTTGGTAATTAAGTGGCTTCGCGATTTACACTTACTCAAGCAATCTGTAATTTATATATAT